ATGCCTCACCACTTCCGAAGGAGGACTAGATGAAGGGCGTTGGACTAGCTGATCTTTCAAGGTCCCTTCCAACTCCCAGCATTCTGTGAAAGAGTTAAATTCTCAGAACAGAAATTACGCAGTCACATTTTGCTTAGATGCTGTCTGCTCAAAGCACTGCCACCAGACACATACTCATCTCAAATCTGAGAATAAGGGCACTGATGTTATCCGCAAGCCTTTACAGGACACCAAAGCCACAAAATCCCAGAAGAGCCTGAGACCAGCAGCGACAGTGAAGAACAAGAAGCATTGAACTGTTCATATGACAGTGAACACTTAAAATTACTTTTAAGATGGAAGCAAACACTTCCCACTGGTATTTCAAGTCCTCACTCCTGCACAACATCAGAGCAAGATGAAAAGCCAATATATGCATGTTACTCTTCTATCAAAAAAAGCCAACAGACTCAGGAAACGTGAACCAGCTATGCCATGAGGATAAACACTTATCTACAGAAAACAGAGGAACAGCAGCGTCCTCTTGATTAGAGAGGACACTGGGGAAATTCTTTTCTTCTGAGAAAACGACTCTGAGCCACACATCACCAGCGCATTTTAGAAAGTAGTTACGGAGGAGAGACGATGTCATAATACAGCTATCTTCTTTCTTTTCATTTTCCACATAATACAGAATAAACTAATACAAGCTTAATCAGGTTGAAGTATTTTTTTATGACATAGCTCAGTGGCTGATATGAAAAGATGTGCCTTCATTGCAACAGTATCCACTCTTCCTTTCTGAGTATCATGGGAAAGCCAGAAACAAAAACCAAGAAATTCCGCATTCATTCAGATTTTGCAGAACCAGGAAAGAGTAGCCTGAAATCCTTTACTACTTTTACCCTTTGACTTGTTCTCCCATTTAATTATGAAATGGCATCTTTCCTCATATATTAACTTAGGTTACAACAAAAGCAAATACACCAGTGAAGCGTGTTAAGGCCTTGTGCTGTTTCACAACAGTTTTGGAACTTAAGTTATCCAGCCTCTGCTACCAGAAGAGCAACACCTTAACACAGCCTTTCACATCCCCGCTGCAGCAGTAACCCAAGAGAAAACAAAGCACCGTTACCTCACGCAACTCTTAATGCTCACTGGATCAACCCAATGGGATTACCTTCTTAGTTCTTGCTGTATTTTATGCATTGTTCTTCATCTAAGGTCATCCATTTTTAAAACAGACTTCTCCTTTCTCTGTAGATTAGCTCTCAAGAGTCACGCATTGTGCTCACCCAGACCTGCCCCCCCCCCCTTCCCTGACATTCTTGCAAGGTGCTATTTTTAGAGGGCCAAACAAGTTTATCTGTGAAGGCCAGGGTATTTCTTTACTTGTCCTCTTCACTTATTTGCCCCCTCTCAAAACGCTTCAAGAGTGCTGGTTTCTCCAGTCTGAGAAGCAATGGTGTTTGCTCCACCAAGTTTCTTCCTAAATTAAGCAGCAAAAGAAATGAATGAGGAAGGAGAAGGGGGGTAGAAATGCAATCCATGTATAAAGGGTACATCTTTCAGATACGAAAGACTTCAGCTTTCGGGCTTCCAAGCCAAGCTGACAGCCCACAGCCGCCCTGGGATCCTTGCATACACTTGCAGCATCTCAAAACAAAAAACGAACAAACGAGCAAACAAAAAAATATTCATACCCACTCTAGCCTCTCCGATGCTCATGTTTGACAGCCAAGAGAAGCCACCCCCCCAGAACAAGCGTTGCCTCAGAAACACAGCCTGAAGCCCAGAAACATAACTGAAACACTCCTTCCTTGACACTAGGCTTCTGGAACAGAAGCCCTAACACAAGGTCAGAAGTTAGTGAGGGCCTGGCGACACCCCTCTCAGACAATACCACTTATTCTGCTTGTAAAGCATACAGAGTCCTGCATGTGAAGCACAGCTCAGCTTTTCACTCCTCTTCAGGAAACAAACCTAGAAGGAAGTTTATAATGGCTGGATTACCATTCTGCAAGGATGGCCACTGGAAAATGGTTAGGTAATTATCCTTCCCACAAATAAACTTCTTCTCCCTCAAGCATTTGTGTCATTCTTCTGTCAAGGAGGGCCAGCCTGAATTTCTTCCCGAGATTCTCAGAAAAACATCCAAAGCAATCCCATTCTACTGATGAGACTTTCGTGACTGTGTTTAAAAGTTAACACCTTATATAAGCTTCTATGAACAGGAATTATTATACAGGCCAGACCAGATTCCTTGAAAAGCCAGAGGATAAATCAGACAACTATCACCTGGAACAGAAATAAATTTGGTTCAGAGACTCAAACCTCCTCCAGACTGCTAGGAAAACCATGGTGTGAGGAGTATTTTTATTGACAAGTTAACCCGCAGCTGGCAAGAAAAGGAAAAGCACTGAGCTACTCTTCACGTTAATGGGTTAAAGTCAAATGCGGAAGATAACTTGGGGTGTTGTCAACCCATGTCTTTTATGACAGTCTAATTTGTTCCGAGTGTATTAACACATTCATCAGGAGGGATGTCCTTTCCCAGGCTGCCTCACTTGGCAACATTAAAAAAAAAAAAAGACTATTCATTATCTCCCAGAAATGCCCACACACCAAGTGAATTCACAGTCTCTGACATTTTGTGCTCAGTTAATGACTTTTTCTTTGGAGAACCGCAAAAGAAAAGTGTATTTAAACTAAATAAGTCAAGAGGGATCAACTTCTCTTCATCAGATCTTACAAAGTGTCAACAAGTCAAGGAGTGACCTCAACCTGAAGTTATCTGAAGGGCTCAATACTCCACAGCCTCTCTGGTCAGTTATACAGTTGAAGTAAAATTTCAAAAGTTGTAACCACATTACATGCTAGTAGCTCATGCCAAAGGTCTGCTATGCCTCTCAATTAACAAGGCTGTAAAATCACCAAAGTATTTCCAAGATTACAGGCAATTTGCAGAAGAAATGGATGGAAATCTTGCTAGTTGTTATCAGTATTACAGATGTGGGCTTAAAATAAAATTTAAAAATAAAAATAGTATATGTACAAGCAACCGTAATCAAGTTAAAGATAGCAGA